GGAGAAAACTGACATCTACAAGGTGTCCTCTGCAGGTGTGCCCCCTTACCACACCCCTCTCTGTCTCTGTCTCTGTCTCTCTCTTTCTCTCAATAATAATAATAATAATAATAATAATAATAATAATAGGGATTCTTGAGACAGGGTCTCTCTAGGCACAGCTGGCCTAGAACTATTGTAGACCAGGCTGGCCTTGATCCCACAGAGATCTGCCTGCCTCTGCCTCTGGAGTGCTGGGATTAAAGGTGTGTGCCACCCCACCCAGCCAATAATAATTCTTTTTAAAAGACATACCAGCCAACCTGTCAGCCAGAAACCCTACCCCCTGCCCTGGCCTGATGTACACCTCACCAACACCACCTTCCTTTATTTTAGGGGCTGCCCACTGCCTGCCCCACTTGTTGTCTTTCTCAGCAACATGTACAGGGAGACAGACTTCCTGCTCCTTTCAAGACACATGGGGTGATGAAGGGGAGGTGTAAGTTCAGCAAAAAGGCAGGGGGGACCCTTAAAACACTTAGGGACAGTCTAGTCTGGCTAAAGTTTAGAAACGAAAGATAACCAAACTCCTGTCAGAAAGGAAGGTGACTTCATCTGTAGTCACACCTGCTTTATCAGTAATGGATTGTGTGTGTGTGTGTGTGTGTGTGTGTGTGTGTGTGTGTGTGTTTGTGTGTTTCATTCCTCAGGTACTGGCCACTTTGTTTTTAGCGACAGCATCTCTCACTGCCTGGAACTCGCCAAGTAAGCTAGGCCCTAGGAATCCGCCAGTCTCCAAATCCTCGGAGATACCAATTGCACACCGCTACGTCTGGCTTTTTATTTATCTTGTTTTTATTTTTTATTTTTGAGACAGCGTCCCCCAGTAGCCACAGCTGGCCTAGTACTTGATATGTAGACCAGACTGGCCTCACTCACAGAGATCTGCCTGCCTCTACCTCCCAAGTACCTTATTTTTAAAATATTTATTATTTTTATGTGTACAAGTATATTGTCTGCATGTTTGTCAACACACCCATGTCTTGCAATACCCATAGAGGTCAGAAGAGGGTGTTGGATGCCCTGGAACTGGAGTTATGGATAGTTGTTAGCCACCATATAGGTGCTAGGAACTGAACCTGGGTCCTCTCTAAGAGTAGCCAGTGTTCTTAACCACTGAGCCATCTCTCCAGTCCCATGAGCTAGCTCTCTAGCCCTTTGGTGATCTCTTATACAAAGAAGTCACCAGATAATCAAAATGAGGACAACAAATTCTTCCATGAGGCCCCAGTAAGGGAAGGATTCCTCCTCCCTGGCTAGTGGGTGTCACCTCTGATTAGCTCTGTAACACTGGGCATGTCACTTGACCTCACTGTACCATCTTCCCAGCTGTCACAGAAGACAACAGACTGGATTATCTCTCAGACTCTTTTTTTTTTTTAAATCATGATTGAAATTTCATAGGGGTTCTTTCAGAAGGTCAAATTGGTATAGGGTGTGGGTAGAAGTGAACCCCAGAGGCTGATGACGAGCCATGGGCACAGCTCCAGGACTGGATAAGAAATGTTTTTCAGCCAGGGGTGGTGCCGCACACCTTTGATCCCAGCACTCGGGAGGCAGAGGCAGGTGGATCTCTGTGACTTCGAGGCCAGCCTGGTCTACATAGTGAGCTCCAGGACAGCTGGGACTACAGGGAGACCCTGTCTCAAAAAGACAAAAAAAAAGAAAAAAGCTTTTCAAAATGAAGCTGGGTGCAGGGGTACAAGCCTGTAATCCCATCACCTGGAAGGCTGAGGCAGGAGGATTCTGAGTTCTAGGCTAGCCTGGGATATCTACCAAGACCCTATGTCGATCAAACAAAAACAAATGGAAAAGAGTAAATACAAGGCACGTGCAAGGTCCTGGGTTCAATCCCCAGCACTGTCAAAAAATAAGATAGAAATTAAAAACTAAGAGAGTGAACAGGGCTGACACAGAGGGGAGGGGGGAGGGCTAGAGGTGGTATACTTTTGACTGAAACCAGCCAACAAAGGACAGGAAAGGGAAGAGAGAAGAAAGAGAAAGGCCTGCCTTTGGGCCAGACTGTCCATCAACACCTCTTACATCAGGGGTATAATAAGCAACACACGACTAGGTCTGGCCCTGAAATGCCACAGTGGTGTCCCTTGGTTTTCCAGTGCATGACTAGACACAATCAGGCCACCCTCTGCATGTGGCAGGCAGCCGAACACCTGTCATCCACTCCGCCCGGAGTCTGTGGCAATGCTGTTGCTGAGCTAACGAGCATTCTCTTTTGTTACTCTGACCACTCAGGACACAGATGACAAGCTGATGACCATCAAGCTGCTTTTGTTTGCCCTCTGCAGCATTTTAAGAAATTTCAGCTTGTTGCCAACTCTTAAAATGGGAGCAGTTTCACAGCAAAATCCAGATGGGAGGCTTTTCCTGAAAATCTTAAGTTCTACCACATTCACACAGATTCTTAAGAAACACACGCTGGGGCTGAGCAGTAGCTGCCCACTCCACCCCCCTGCAAAGAGGGCACAGTGCTCTCTTTACCCTATACCCACATCTTACTGCCTCACAGGTGGCCAACTCCACTTGCTCTTTCGATGCCTGGTTCTGAAGGGTTGGCGTTTGAGGCCCTGGCTTGAAGATGTCTTTAGAAATGTAAACTATGTAAAGTGCAAAGGGTACTGAGAATCAAGCCCAGCATCCTCCCATCTGCCAGTGCAGTCATCTGCTCCCCAACCCGAGCCAACTGGTCTGTTCTCACATTCCACCCACCTATTCTGTTGCCTGGGCCTGCACTGATCCTGTACACACTCTTTCCTCTTGACCCACCCTTTGCTAAGTTCTTTCACCCACTGGGTCTAACACCAGCCTGACACCTCCTTGCTGACACTGGGATCTACCCAGGCCTTGAACATCTGACTCCAGAGCCTGATTCTTTCCTGATTTGACAGCGGGGGCAGCCTCTCAAATGGTGTGCCAGGAACCTAAAACAAGCTTTCATGTGAGTATATCATACAAGTTCAAAGTTGGAATGTCTTTTTTTCTCTCTCTCTTTTTCATTTAGGATCGGAAACTTTACGATGATGAGGTGCACATGCTGGCCTAGTTACATGCTTCACAGTGCATGGCCTTTCTTTATCAAATGCATCCGAAAGCCTGCTGCGCACCAGGTTCTATGCCAAGCACTTTATGTGTGTGACTGCTGATCCTCATTATAACTGTTCAAGGTAAATATTTTCATCACCAGATGGAGACGCCAAGACTCAGAGGAATCGCATCATTAGTAAGTTTTTCGAGGAGAAGCTGAACCCGGCCTTGTCTTCCCCAAGGCCTGCCAGGCCCCTTCCATTAAGAAGGAGTTCTAAGATGTAAAAATGGCAAGTGAACACATGAAACAGAAACTGAAGGACTGGATTGCTGTAGCCAATATGTTTTCAGTTAACTTCAAATACTATGAAGCACATTTTACTTCATGGTGATGAATTAGAGTCTACTTGCTTTTTTGATCCTGTATGGAAACCCACAATGTACAGAATACAAAAGACAGTCCATAAATAGAGTCTTAAAAGAACAACCTGGAAATGGTACATCCTCTAATTCAAGCATTTTGGTTCTGTGGGTCTTTTTCATTGTGATTATTACCTTCTCAGCCAAAATGATGACAAATTTTATGGGTGGCTATGGCTGGCTGTGGGGCTCACCAAGGCCTACTGTCTGGCAGACCTGGCCTAGGCCTAGCCCCTTAAACAGGTCAGTTGGTCAGTGAGTCTTGTAATCCCAACCTCTTATGGCAAGAAGGTTTTCAGTAACTGGATACCCTGAATTATGTAATGACCCATAGAGGGGTGTAACTCATGAGGCTGAAGTCAGAGCACAGACTAGGGAGGTGAAGTCCTTTGGCCCCTGTGGAATGCACTAAAGTACATCCTGCAGTCATCACTGTGCATTACTGCACATTGCCTTACTCCGGGGACATACCTAAACTGTGTCCTTCTCTCTAAAATAGCTGTGTAGCATTTCCTAAATTAGAGCAACTAAAACTGCATTCAGCCAGGCATGGTGGCATATGCCTGTAGTCCCAGCACTTGGGAGGCAGAGGCAGGCAGATCTCTGTGAGTTCAAGACCAGACAAAAAAAAAAAACAAAAAAAAACCCCAACCCCCGCAAAAAAAAACCTGTATTCAGAGCACAAGGACTGGTACTTCGGCTTAAAAGATTGGAAAGCAAGGGCTCTGTGGGTACAAAAGCTGGACTCTCAAATATAGTTTAGCTAAGGCCATCAACTTTAGAAAGATGGGCATTTTAGAGGGCAGCTGGCCTGCAAGTTGTGAACTTGGTTGGTTAGCAAAAGAATTTAAATTCTGCTTATGGATTCTCAAGATAATCACCTCCCTAAAAGTTTTCTGCTCTAGTCAAGTTTGGGTACAATTAGCATTTTCACTGTAATTCCCAGCTTTGAGGGACCCTGGGCCACCCTTGCCTTAACAAAATTTCAAACTCAGGTTCCCTTTTTTTTTTTCTGGTCTTTTTGAGACAGGGTCTTCCTGTAGCCCCAGCTGTCCTGGAACCACTATGTAGACCAGGCTGGCCTCGAACTCACAGAGATCCACCTGCCTCTGCCTCCCAAGTGCTGGGATTAAAGGCATGCACCACCACGCCCCGGCTACCCTTGCCTTTTTAAGGGAGTGATGTCCCTTGGTAGACAGAGATTCAGACCAAAACCCTGCCTTCTAAACCTCTGGTTTCCTATGCCCACAGTAGCCATCAAGCCCAGAACCCACCAGCAACATGTTCAGTAGGACAGCAGCTCAATTGACCAGCTTGCTACCAACCATCAGCTTCTATGAGGCCGTGGCCTCTGCCTGGGGTGGGGCCTGGCAGGCAGAGGCGAGCCTGGAAGGGAGCCAGGGAGGTCAGGCAGGGAGGGGCCTGGTAGGTAGGGGCGGGGCCTGATAGGGAGGGGAGGGGCCTGACCGGGTGTGGCAGGGGCTAGCCGGTCCTCTTACTCCGGTCATCCTGGAGTGCCAAGTCGATGAAGGCAGCGGCTGAGTAGAAGAAGACGCTGAGGTCGAAGGTGGGCACGTCGTCGGCCTCGACGCCGTGGTACTTGATGGCCATGTCGCGGTAGTAGTTGGGCCCGGTGTCCACGTTCCAGCGGCCGTGCGCCGCGTTCAGCACATGCGTGAAGCCCGCCTTCTGCAGCCCATAGCGGTCCAGTGCCGTCGCCCTGGGCAAAAGGGAGAGGTCATGGGCGGGTGGATGGAGCCTTGACGTGGACCGGGCGGGCTCCGGGCCGTGCACGGCTCTCTACAGTGGGCCCTGGTTCCCCAAACCAAGCCACCGAAGTGCTGCATCTCCAGGCGCCCAGGCCGCAGGCACCGTGTTTCTGTCTGTGCAGCTGGGAGAAAGCAAAGGTAAGCCGCCCCCCTGGGCATTTGCCCTCTCACTGGTGCTTCATTTGCCAAATCCAGCGGGGCCTGAGGCTGGACCTGCCAGACTGCTGAAATAACCTGTTCATCTGGGCCTGCTTCCCACCACCCCAGGAGACCATTTAAAACAGGTCTCTCCGAAGCCTCCAGACTTTTACAGGGTTTGGAGGTCAGAGGCAGGAAAAATAGCTTCGGGCCGGTGGTTCTGTGGGAAGATTTGGGACTGAATCAAATTCTTGAATTGATGCTGACACGGTTGGCAGGCACCCTCTGAATGGGAGTTGGTTGCTTTGCTGAGTCCTTTGGCTAGCTTGGGCACACAATGTATTGAGGAGAGCTATTTCCTCCAGTTCTTGCTTTTCAGGACAAGAATTTCTAGGAACAAAAAGTAAGACCACTTTGAAGTAGTTAGCCTGGGGTCATCACTAGATAAAGAGACAAGGGGAAGCAGGGCTTGTTTCTGCAGGAGTGGTGGGGCAGCTCTGGGGGAGGAAGGCCTTTGAACCTGCCCTACTGGAAGGGTGAGCACCTGCTTGCTATGAAGGTCAGCACTGGGTGATGAGAGGAAGAGGAGGGGCCAGGCTAGGCCAAAGCAAGGAAGTAACGCAAGCTAAGATGTGGAAACTGAGGGTGTGAAGGCCTAAGGAGGTGTTCATGACTTCTCTGGTCAATCATTTATCCCCAAGGAGTGATACAGACCCTGTGGTGTGTGGATGGTAGAGAAGGAAACAAGCTGATCAAGGTCCCTCAGGAAACTTGGATTCTAAGGATAGCAAGTTATAAATAAACAGTAGGAGCTGTGAAGGAACTAAAGTCATGTGACATGATACAGAATGGCTACACTCCTATGGTAGGATGCCCAGCGGAAGCCTCTGTGGGAAGATGGCACTGGAGTAAGACAGGAGAAGACTTGAGGCAAGAGGGCTTCACCCTGGCTAAGGGAATGACCAAGTGCTAAGAATGGAAAGGATACCAGGGCAGCAGAAGGGACAGGGGGCAGGATGGGATCTTGATGGGCCCAGTAGGCCCTAAGGAAGAAGAGTTTGGTTATTACTCTAAGCCACAGAGGGTTTTAAGAAAGGGATGATGACTATTTATCTTTTAACAGATCAGCCTGGTTGATGTGTGCAAATGGATTGGAGAGGGATGAAAAATAGAAGGGAGAGGTCTGCTGGAGGCTGTTGCAAGAGAGGAAAGAGGCTGGTCTAGGATGATGTCTCTGCGGTGCTTCCTGTGGCTGGGAACAAGAGCGAGGAAGAAGGGAGACTGGCTTGATCAAGCATATGAGGAGGGGAAGAAAAGGAGGAGAAGAGGGAGCTTTAGAGGGAACATGGACTTTTTGATCTTGGAAGTGTTTGCTCTCCAGGATCTATATTTGGGGTTGTCGAGAAGATCTTTAGTCAGTGTTTAAATAGGGATGATAGAATTTGGCTTTAAAAGCCATGTCCTTCAGTAGCACAAAGACCAGCTTGGGGAAGAGTAGCAAGGGTAACCTTACCAGCAAGGATGCAAAAGTGGCTTTATGCTTTTTCTGAAGATTCATGGAAAGGCCACTGGTGAAATAGTCTGTACAGAAGCAAGGACCAGGAGGAGCTTTGCATCAGAAACACAAGCCAAGTCCTCCGCCAACATGCCTCCATCCCTCTCCAGTGTCTTGGTTCCCCTTGAGGAATAGCAGTAGTGTCTAGTGTTTGGGAAAGAGATCTGAGCAAACATTAGGCCTTTATAAAAATTTTAAAACAGTCACTCAGAACTACTGTGTGAAGCAGCTGGGTGTGGTATCTTATGCCAGTAATGCCAGCACCTGGGAGACTGAGAGAGGAAGATTGCTGTAAGTTCCAGGCCAACCTGGGCTACCTAGTGAGTTCCAGGCCAGTCTGAATAAACGTGAGATATTGTCTGAGATACACAAAGCAAAGCAAAACAAGAATGGCTTGTATAGAGAGAGGGGATTCCACAGAGCCCCCAGCTGGCCCTTGGTGCTGCCATCCTGGCTATAGAACACATTCTACTTTCATCTTTTTCCTCTGAAAAGTCTGCTTTTCATTTTTCTTCTTGTCCCAGATATGTATACAACAAACACTATGCTTTGGGGACACAGATCTGCACTCAATTAAAGGCTCTACTAATGCGGTCCATCTTGCTGAGTAGCAATCAGCCTCACTTTGAGGTTGAGCTCAGTGGAAAAATTAAAATTAACTGTCCTTGACAGGAAGTCCTAACCCACCAGAAAGACTGTTCTCTCTGGGTACAGCACCAAGATCTCTGCAGAATCAAATGGCAGTTTAAAGAGATACAGTTTGCACTTTGCTGCTTTGGGGAGGGGGGTCAAGGACCAAGGGTAGATAAACAACAAGACTCATTGTGTGATATCTATCCAGTCACCCTACCCTGCTAGCTTTGGCTGTGTCAGAGAAGAAAGAGCTGATGAGAGCATTAGACCTGTGGCTTGTCTAAGGTCCACTGCAGGTTTTCAGGGCTGTGTCTGCCAGGGCTGGGAAGGGGATATGGGGTCTCTATACACCACTCTGGGGACTTCTCTCAGTTCAGAGTCTGATTGAGACCTTGAAAGTGCATCCACAGCAGAATGGGGCGTTTTCAAATAAAAATAAGTGCTTCCTGGATCACAGGTACCCAGTGTCCAGTCCCCAGGTGGACCAGATGGCCAGCTCAGCAGTGGCTGGAAATGGGATGTGGACAGAGGATGATGTTTGGCTCTGTATTGTTTTGTTTTTCAATTTCAGGGCCAGATACAGAATTATCTCAGATAGTTTATGCAGGAAAGAGACTAAGAAACCCAGAGATATTTTGAGGTGGTGGGAAAAGAGAAATAAAAGGTCATGTGTTCTGTGGTCAAGGTTCTGGGCCTGCCTCTGATGGAGAAATACAACAGATTCAGGAATTTGCTTCTACAAACTAGATGATGAGAGGCTGGGGAGATGGCTTAGTCAGTAAAGTGCTTGTCATACAAGCAGGAGGACCTGAGTTTGATGCCCGGTATCCACGTACAAACCAGTACTGTTGGTGCACCTGTAATCCCAGCATGGGAAGGTGAAGGCAGAAGGTTCCCTGGGGCGTGCTGGCCAGCTAATCTAGCTGAATTAGTGAGCTCGAGGTTCAGTGAGAGGCCCTTTCTCAAACAATAAGATAGATGGGGACTGGAGAGATGGCTCAGCAGTTAAGAATACTGGCTGATCTTGTAGAGGACCCAAGTTCAGTTCCCAGCACCCACATGGCAGCTAACAACTGTCCAGAACTCAAGTTCCAGGGAATTTGATGTCCTCTTCTGACCTCCACAGGTATTTCATGACATAGGTCATGCATGCAGGCAATACACTTGCACACATAAAATAAAAAATAAATAAAATATTAAAAATTAAAGTGCAGAGCAATAGAGGAGGACATTTGATGTCTATCTGTGGTCTACCTGTATGCATATGTGGGAACTTTCACTGTGCCCCATATGTGCATATGGACATATGCCACACACACATGCATATACACATGGTAAAGGCAGAGAATAATTGAGGAAGACATCTGATGTTGACCTCTGAGCTCCATATGCATGCATACATAGTTACACACACATGAACTTATACACCCAAGCACACACAAAATAAAAATAACAAAAGGGTCTTAATGTTTGGATATTTAAGAAAAATCCTAGATCTAAGCAATGTGTTCATTAAAAAAAAATCATGTCATCTCCTTACAGAAATAATACATGCCAAGGAATAATGTGAAAAATATAGCCTCCCCACCCCCCAAAATCACCTGTATTTCTGTCCTGCTAATGATAAAAACTATTATTATCCCAGCACTCAGGAGGCAGAGGCAGGTGGATCTCTGTGAGTTCAAGGTCTGGTCTACATTGTGAGTTCCAGGACAGCTGGAGCTACAGGGAGACCCTGTCTCAAAAAAGACCAAAACAACAACAACAAAAAAAAAACTGTTATTAGTCTTTTCTTTTTGGTATAAGATCTTCCAGTTGTTTTTCTATGCATGGATTTTGATATTTTATAGAGACATGTTTTGCTCTAATGTGGTAACAGGCATGCCTCATTTTATTTTTTTTAAATTTCTTTTTTTCAGTCTTTTTTTTTTTTTGGTCTTTTTGACACGGGGTCTCCCTGTAGCCCCAGCTGTCCTGGAACTCACTATGTAGATTTATTATTTGTGTGTGTGTGTGTGTGTGTGTGTGTGTGTGTGTGTGTGTGTGTACATGTGCATGTCGATGCCCTGCAGAGGCCACAAGAGGGCATCAGATCCTTTGGAGCTGGAGTTACAGTTGGTTTTTGTGCCACCTGATGTGGGTGCTGGGAATTGAACTTGGGTCCTCTGGAAGAGCAGCAAGTGCTCTTAACCTCTGAGCCATCTCTCCAGCCCCTTTTTATTTATTATTTTATTTTATTTTTTGTAATACTGGAGATTAAGTCTGAGGCCCTGAACATGCTAGTCAAGTGCTCTACTACTGGGCTATACTCCCCAGCTCGATACTAAATTTTTTATAGTTAAACACGAAGCGACCCTGTATCAAGCCAAATCTATCAGGACCATTTTCCCACATCTCAGGTGACTGTTGGCACTTTTTAGCAGGAAAAAAATAATAGTGTTATATATAGCATTGTGGTACATATGCTGTTGCATGCTGAAGAGACTAGCAGCCACGTTTGGCCAAAGATAGCTATGAATATAGCCCAACACAAAATCATAAACTTACTTATAACATGAGAGGTTTTTTGGTAACTCGGTTGCACAGTTCCTGAGTGTCAACTTTGTGGACAACAATGTTGTGTTGCAGTGTCAAAAGGTTGGACATGTCTTGTATGGTATAATGCAAACATAAGTAATTTATATGCCCTGAGAGACCAAAGAATTCAAATGACTTGCTTTATTTTGTTATTTGCTTTATCAGGGGAGCCTAGACTCAAACTTTTCTCTCCAAAGAATTCCTGTATGTACAGTTCAAAAACATGGCCGGGCATGGTGGTGCATGCTTTTAATCCCAGCACTTGGAAGGCAGAGACAGGTGGATCTCTGTGGGATTGAGTCCAGCCTGATCAACATAGTGAATTGTAGGCCAGCTGGAAGACCCTGTCTCAAATAATAACAATAACGATGATGATGATGATGATGATGGTAAAATCTTAGACACAGCAGTGTATTGTAAGCATCTGATACCACCATATGACCTTCAATAGCTGCTTGAGTCTCCTTATATAAGTCAATCTAAATTTTACCTCAGCTATCACTTTGAACACACCTACTTATGTCATTAGGAGAGACTTTTTAAAAGTATAATTGTCAGCCAGGCATGGTGGCGCACGCCTTTAATCCCAGCACTCGGGAGGCAGAGGCAGGAGGATCTCTGTGAGTTCAAGGCCAGCCTGGTCTACATAGTGAGTTCCAGGACAGCTGGGGCTACAGGGAGACCCTGACTCAAAAAGACCAAAAAAAAAAAAAAAAAAAAAAGTATAATCGTCATGCCTATGGTTAGAGACAATTTAAAATATATCTAAGAGCTGGCGAGGTGGTTCATCTGGGAAAGGCACTTGCTATGTAGGCTTGACAACTTGAGTTCCTAAATGTGGAAGGAGAGAACAAATTCCATATAGTTGCTGTCTGACTTCTATACTCATGCTGTATGTAGCACACGTGCTCCCACACTCACATACACATCATAAACAATAATAATTTAAATGTCTGATGCTCATTTTAAGTGGCCCTCTAGAAAACTTGCTCAGATATACATTCTAATTTTTAAAATTAATTTCTTTGAGGTGGTCTTGCTGTAGCCCCAGCTAGCCTAGAACTCCCTGTGTAGACCAAGCTGGCCTCAAACTCACAGAGATCTGTCTGCCTCTGCCTCCCTAGTGCTGGGATTAAAGGCATGTGCCACCATGCTCAGCCTTTAAAAATAATTTTGAGTTTTATGTATATGTGAAAGTCCCTGCAGGTATGATGTGGATCACATGTGTGCCTGGTACCTATGGAGGTCAGAAGAAGGCATTGGATCCCCTTGGACCTAGATAGTTACAGGAAGTTGTAAGTTGCCATATGGATGTGCTGGGAGCCAAACCAGACATTCCAGTTTTTATTGTATATATATATGTGTGTGTGTATGTATATATATATGTATATGTGAGTATATAGAAAATATATATATAATTTTCATTAACTGTTCTTAGGTTGGACATTTTGTCACACATCTATTGGACTCATGCAGTTTACTTTATGTTGTTGTTTATTGAGACAGGGTCTCAATATGTATCCCAAGTTGTACTTGAACTTGTTATCTTTCTGCCTCAGCCTCCTGAATGCTGGGATTACTGGCAAGTTCCACCATCTCTGGCCCATGCAGTTTGTTTTGAAGGATATTATCTAGCCCTGGTTTGACCCAAGACTCTCACTTTTCTCACTTCATGCAAACTCTTGACCTAGCTCTGGATTCTGAAGAAGCAATATCCTTTTCACATGGCCTGGTTTTCTCACTCGGAGCCCTTCCCTCAGACCTGGTCCAGCCTTCTTCTAGCCCCTGGAAAGTTGCCCCTGAAAGCTTGCTTCAAACTCCATCCCTGAGGAATTTGACTAAGCATACTACCCACGTGGCAGTCTCCTTGGGCAGCATTCTTGACCTTCCATTCAACAAGACCTTTGTTGTCCTGATCTCAACTCAGATCCCTCAGCCTCTGTAGTCAAGACCATTTGCTCATACTGTTAAGCAGGGGGGAGGAGGCGTACAAGCTCTGAGTATATAAGTTTGTGCGGACCCTCGGCCAGCCTCCTGCAGGTAGAAAGGAAGCTGCTCCCATGTTGCAGGACCCTACACTAGGCAGTAAAGACAGTCCCCTCATGACCATTCTGCAGAGGCTGGCCTGTACCTAATTGAGAATTCCTGTTTGCATGTGGTCTGTGTTCTGCAATCTGGCATCTTTTTATTCTGTCACATGTGACACTATCATTGTCACATGTCACTCCATGGGTATGTCCTTGATGCCCTTGTCTACCTGTGGAGTCTTGACTGTGTGTGTTTCTTGCAGGTGCCCTTTGGAGCAGTGGACACCTTCCAGCCTTCTGGTCTCCATTAAGTCACCCGGTGTGAAAGTGAAACTCACTGGCCTGCTAGTTCTTGAGTGTGTTGAGGCCATTCAGGGTCAGTAGCTTGAACTGCTGTGTGAACTAAAACAAAGGAACCTCTGGGGCCTCAGTTTTCTTTGCTTGCTGAATAGAACTGATGACACAGGTGGCACCTTTTTTTATAAGTATGTGAAATTGAATGAATCAGTATTAAGCTTCTTTGACAGGTTAAAGAAATTCAGGGAAGAAAAACATTGGAGAAATGTACATCAAAATGTGCTTATCTTTGGATAATAGGATTATAGGGAATTCGAAATTTTTTCTTTGATCTGTGTTTTACAAAACACAGTAAGAAACATGTCATATATTCATTTACTATGTAAATTCGTGCCGATTTTATTGATATTTCCTTAGTACTCAGGAGAGATTGATTATTGCAAGGATATGAGGTGGCCTTTGGATTTTTAAATTCCTCTTAGATATATTCCCACTGGCCATGATGATGTAAGCCTGTCATCCGTAAGTGCTAAGGAGGCTGAAATAAGAGGAAAGAAAGTTCTAGGCTAACCTGGGCTTCACAGTAAGACCCTGTCTCAGAAAATAAAATAAATAAATAAAACAAAAACAAAACAATCAAAAATCGCTTTTGCCTCACTTTTCAAGATTCCAGTCCTCCAATGATGGAGTCTAAGGATGCAAAGAGACCATGCACAGGAGGCCTGTTTTTGAGAAATGATGCCATATTAATGGTTAGACCAGACACTTGGCTAACTCTGCAAGGTAGGTTCATGTTGCTTGAAACCTTGACTGAGAAAGCTTCATCTAGCAAGAGAGGGCTGGCCAGAGACTCAGGCATCTGTATCTGGTCACCTTGTCCAAATGGTGCCCAGTTGTATCTAAATCAGCTTCAGTAGTTCAAGGTTTGAAGTCTGGGCTTTCTGTTTCTTCCAGGAAACATTGAGCATGCTCAGCTGTTAACATGACATAGGCCAAGTATTGATTCCTTTTTTGGTGGGAAGGGGTCATAGCTGTCCAAGTACACCAATGCCCCCCCCCCCACCTTTTCTTAGTCTCCCCAACCTGCAGGCTAGGTGTCTCGACTTTTGAGATTGCTGACTGGCTAGGAGAAAAAAAAAATCAGACCAAGCAAATTGGGGGTGGGGTGTGGGGGAGAGAGCTGGCCATAGGCATTTAGCCTGTGAAGAATCTGGCTTTTTTGGAGAGGAGGATGGTGGGTTTGTTGATGACCCTCAGAAAGAAGGCCTTGGTGGTAACTGTAGTGTTAGTAAAAGTGGGGAGCCCCTTTCATCTCGGCCCCTAAAGCAGCAGGATAGTTTACAAGCATCCCAGGGTTGGCTCCTAGGGACCGTCACTTGCGTGTGCACACTGTGGAGCTGGAGGAGGAAGGGAGGTTGCTGAGTTACCCTGTTTCAGCCCAGCATGATCATCAACTGCCCTGCCTAGGAATTTGCAATTATTTTGACAGTAGCTTAAGATATTTCCTTCCTGCTGACTGTACAGAAAGGGGAAAAAAAGAAAAAGAAAGATTTTTCTAAGCAAATGAAAGATGTGAAGGAGATTAAAGTGAGAATATTTAAATGATAGAAACTTAGTGCTTTCAAGCATACTCAAGCAGTTTTTTTGAAGCATCCATTTAGGGATGGCTGATTGATAAGAGGCTATGAATTATTCTTATCTCTGAGTCCCTGGCTCTCTGGAGGGCAACACTTGGTTAACCTAATTTGAATCTAATTTAAATGACTTAAGAGTAATAAAACAAGTGAATGCTTGAACCTAATAAAGCCCAATTTATTTAATAGGACATTTTAAAAGAATTGTATGTTAGAGCCAGAGGAAGCCTTTGAAATCATCTTTTATTTAACAAATAAAGAAACTGAGTCCCAGAACAATAAAATGTTTTGCTGAAGGCCACACACAGTTAGTGGCCACACATAATGGGGACTTGAACTCTGTGCCCCAAGCAGGTCTCCTGAGCTTTTGCTCTGCTGTCTGGGAGCCTGAGGTTCCCACTGGGGCAGACTCAATCAGTCTCCTACTGAGTTATGGGAAATGGGTGGATAATGAGGAAGACTTCCCCATAGGGACACCCACAAGATGGCCTGTTGTCTGTGCCCCACTCTCTCAACTGACTCACAGATCTTCCTGTCTGTGGCTGCTTTTCACCAAACAGGGCTGGTGCATAATTGGACTTGGGTTTTCAGGCACCCAGTAAGCTGAATCCTCTTGGGATAACCTGGGACTGAGTAAGTGCTTTAGAAATTCTGAAACCCAGGGATCCGTAGGCCTGCCATATGGTACTGTCTCTTCAGGCCTTAGGTTTCCAGCGTCTCTGGGAGGCCAGGAGGGTGTTGGTGGAGGAGAAGAAGGGCCTTTCTCCTAGTAGTGTGCTGCGTTCCTGATCGGATCATGTGGGAAAAGTTTGACCTAGGGTGATTTTGGTCCCCAGGCTGCTATTAGGCAGAAAGACCTTTAGTGACAAAATCTAGCTTGTCCTTTACTTTCCTCACATGCTGTGAGAGTACTAGAACCTGCTTCATATATAATAGTTCATATGTGAGTGTTCCAGACACTGTGCTGAGCTCTGATAAGTGTTAACACATTAAGTCCTAAGTTTTATAAATGAAGAACTTGAAGCTCAGAGAGCTTGATGACCCCTCCAAAGCCACATAGAAACCAGACACTATGGCTCCAAATAGATGCTTAGCCATCTGCCTGTCTCTGTAAAGAGGGCCTGGAGGACAAAGGATGAACGTCATCTTGGGGATAAGTCTGGCCCCTAGCAAGTCCCACGAGTCACTGGCCTAGGGTCCAGGAACAGATGGTGGCCTGGGTGGCTCAGGACATCTGTTCTTACTCCCGAGTCTGAACTGCCTTTACTTCCAGAGACTGGCACACAGCCTTCAAAAAAATCTTAGGTGCTTTGTGAGAGAGAGAGAAAAAAACTCAACCTCGGTACAAACATTAAATTAAAGCAGAAGCAGCGGCTTTATGGCTGCAAAGCCAGCTTTGGGCTTTGGACAGTACCTCCAAGGAGTCCCAGAAACCCAGCAGCCTTCTCATCTGGCAGCCCAGGTTGCAGCCTCTCTGGGTTGCACTGGCCTTGGAATCTACAGCCCTTTGAAGTCTTATGAACCCTTTTAAGTAGGTGTCATACCCTGAGCCAAAATCAGAAAAGTTTGAAGCCCTGACTTGGGTTTCTGCCCCTTTACTGTGTGTTCAGGCCACAGAGCTGCCTGGACTCTGTGTGTGTGTGTGTGTGTGTGTGTGTGTGTGTGTGTGTGTGTGTCTGAGCTGGATTGAATTGAAAGGGCAGTGACATTTTCTTCTTTGGTAGAAGCAAGGTTATAGTCAAAGGTCAAGGACAAAAGCATATGCCATTGTTGGGCACTTTCGGGTTTTTTTTTGAGACAGGGTCTCCCTGTAGCCCCAGCTGTCCTGAAACTCACTATGTAGACTAGGCTGGCCTTGAACTCACAGAGATCCGCCTGCCTCTGCCTCCCAAGTGCTGGGATTAAAGGCGTGTGCCACCACGCCAGGCTGTTGGGCACTTTCTTAAGCAGTCCATGTCCATTCTCCTCAGACCCTCAACGTGGCTTCCCCAAAGCAGCCCTTAGCTAGCATTCAACCTGCCTTTCTGGGCTTTTCACCAAGTAACAGCAGCAACATTGGTACCTGCATTTGTCTATCACCTCACCATCTCTAAAACACTTTCCCATGCCTTATTTCTCTGGCTGCCAGATTTAATTTAGAGGTGAGGACATAGGTCCAGAAAGGTAAAGGCCCTGCTCAAAACCACTACCCCTTTCCAGGGGGCTGTGGTAAGTTGTGTGATCATTTACAAAGTTTGCGGTCCTTCCTGAGGGATGGGTTATATCTTCCTAACCATGTCAACAGGAAGCTTTGGCATGAACTTGCTTGGTCCAATGAAATATGGACAAAAATGGCATTTGTCAGCTGGGCCTGGTCCTACATGCCTACACTTGGGAGGTGGAGACAGGAGGATCAGGAGTTTGAGGCTAGGCTGGGCTCCATGAGATTCTTTAGTCCCTGCTGCAAGAGAGAAAAATATCCCAGCAGTATTCCAGATGTGTCTGCCCCATCAGCCTGGGTCCTGGACCCCAGTGACCATGATGCATAGCCAGAACCAGCCACATAGTAGACACTGAGAAAGAGGCTGGGTTTTTTTGTTTGTTTTGTTTTGGGTCTTTTTTGAGACAGGGAAGGTTTCTGTGTAGCTGGCCTAGAACTTGCTATGTAGACTAGGCTGGCCTTGAACTCACAGTGTCCTCCTGCCTCTGCCTCCCAAATGCTGGGACTAAAGGCATGTGCCACCTGGACCAGCAGAGAAATAAGTTGTTATGTAGAAGGCCACTGATGTGGGAATGGCCTGTTAGATTAGTGCAGCCGATCTAAGATGATGGTTCACCTGAACCGTAGAATGTGGCTTAGTCAGACCTTCTGAAAGCATGTTTTCTACCACACACATCATCGTATTGCACTGTTTAGCTACTTCAGCCTTAGAATCAACACCATCATGCATGCTTTCCTCTATACTGGTACTCCTGTTTCTATGACTTACATTTCCTAAAGTGCTATTTCAGGTCAAAGTGTACATGTATGTACCTTTTACAAAAGCTAATTTTAGACTTTCAGGAAATTAGCAAATAGAGCACGGAGATTGTTGGTAATAAAAAGGAATGGGTGTTGACACATGACACAGCTTGGATGAAGCCTGAGGAGCATGCATACAAAAGCCAGTCATAAAGCCCACCAGATTGTGTGGCTCCATTTATGTGAAATGTCCAGATTAGGTAAATGTATAAAAGCAGACAGTAGATTGGTGGCCGCGGGGGCAGAGGGAGGAGGGGAGTAAGGAGTGACTACTTAATGGATTCTGGTTTCCTCTTGAAGTGATGAAAATGTTCTGCAATTAGATAGTGGTGATGGTTGCACAACTCAGTGAATATAATAAAATTGCTGAATTGTGTGCTTTCAAAGGGATGAATTTTATGGTACATGAATTATATCCTAGCAGAGCCGCATTCAAAAAAGAAAACAGTACAGCGAGTTCCTGTATAGCCTCGCCTAAGTTCCTGCTCTGCTCTCAACTGGGAAATGATTGGACAAATTGTAGCACAGTTATAATGGAGAATGTTAAAAGTGTAGAACAGGGTATGTGTTATGATTCATTTTTTAAGAGAAACCGTTTAAGCCAGGCAAGGTAGTGCAGGCCTCTAATCCCAACACTTGGGAGACTGAGGCAGATCAGGAGTTTAAGGCCAGCCTGGGCTACATAAGACCCTGTTTCAACAAAATAAAACGTTCGTTTAAAATAAATGAAAACATTGTGTGTGTGTGTGTGTGTGTGTGTGTGTGTGTGTGTGTGTGTTGCATTTCTTATGTTTGAAATAGCACACGTAAAGTAGAAATAGCATATGAACAATATTTGTGGGCTGGCAAGGTGGATCAGAGGGTAAAGAGGTTAGCCACCAAGCCTAAGTACCTGAGTTCAATCTCTAGGCCCCACATGGTAGAAGAAAATCGACTCCCAGAAGTTGTCCTCTGACCTCTACACACGTGCTGTGGCACACATGCACCCCCCCTCCCAAAAAAAAACCATACATACACACAAATAAATAAAAAGAACCCCAAGCTTTATACTTGTTATTGAAAGAATTAAGACAGGACAAAGAGAAATTGTGTGATTTGGTTGTTTTTGTTTTGTTTTGTCTGAGACAGAGTCTCATGTAGCCTTGAGCTTACTATATAACCAAGGCTGACCTTGAACTCCTAATCCTTTTGTCTCTACCTTGAAAGCGCTAGGATTACAGGCATGTGCTACCATGCTTGGCTTGCAGTTTATTTTTTATAACCCCCATTTAGTTTAATATGATATCAAAAGGCATGAAAGTTTTATAACTTCTCCTACTTAAAAAAAAAAGATAAAGGAAAAAAATAAGTCAAGGGCTACTGCTCTTGGGCAATTCCCATGCTAGACGATTTATGTCTCATTTTTAAGCAGCAAGCTAGGTATTAAGATCACATGCATAGGGGGCCTTCTTATATGCTCCAAGGTGGAACACAAGTTGAAGTTCAGGAGGATGGAGGGAGGAGTGAAGTGGAAGTTGTAAATGAAGCTTATGGGTTGGGCAGAGCTGCATTTGAACCTCAGCCAGCTCTCTGATACCAAGGGGTGCTTACTAAACAGCTCTGTCCCTCAGTGTCCTTACCTTTAAAATGGGCATAAATGAAATATTCTTTTTCATTGGGTTGTCATGAGGGCCAAATAAGGTCATATGTATAGGATGCTTAACACAGTATCTGTGAGATAATATTTCCTAAATGATGGCTGCCACCACCACCGCCACCACCACCACCACCACCACCATCATCTACAATAGACATTTCTTGTTTTTTTTGTGCAGTGGAGAATGTGAATATAAAAATCCATGAAGAGACAGTGACTTTAATTTAGGCTTACCATTTTCCAAACACATAGTTTGGAGTACATCTATGCCAGACCCCTATTCCTGCTGTTACAGTCAGCTAAAGTAGACTACACGTCCCAGACCCACTTGCAGCTAGGGGCAGGGGAAATCTTGGGTGGGACTTCCCTTTAGAAAGAGGCCCTTCTTGTCTTCCTTTCCCCCACTTTCCTGCTGTCTGGGGTCTACAGTTCATAGTCAGAGCCCCAGGAGCACTCTGAGTCCTTGAAGGGAGCCAGACCCTCAGGATGGTGAAGCAAAAAGCACAGAACCAGACTCTCTGGTGGCCCAGCAGTCACCATGCCAGCCCCAGCTAACCTTCCTGAACATGTGACAGAAAAATAAGCTCACCTGGCTTATGGCTTTTTACTGGGTTTTCTGTAAAATGACTATGAACTCTAAATAGCAGCATTCTTACAGAACAACTAGCCAGGAGTTGGTACAGTGACCTGGGGAGGGGAGGGCAGAGTGAGGCTGGGCCTGGTACTTACTCATCACCAATATAAAGCCTGGGCCAGACCTCGTTGACGTGGGTGTACTGGGGACTGCCTTTCCAGAAGAGTCGCTCCAGCTCGAAGGCTCCAGGGGTGCAGTAGTCCTCAGCCTCCCCCCCTTCCTCCTCCTGTAGGGACAGCCTCTTGGCACATGGGTAGGCATTCTTGAGGGTTGTCTTTGTGTCTCCCGATGTCATTTGGGGGCGAAAGGATTTTCTTTCCTTTCTGCATGAGAGAGGGTCAGGATGGTGTTAGCAGGGAATGGTGGGCGTTACAGAGGAGCTGGGAAGAAGCCAAGTTGGAAATATGGCTGGTGTGTCCCTAGCCTGCAGTGCCATCTCTTGTCACCCTAGGCCACACAGGTGAAGACGGCCATAATAGCAGTTAAATGACACTTCCCAGCATTCCAGTGTTCCCAGAGCAAAAGTGCTGGGAGTCTAAGGGGGACTTGTAGCAGACCTAAGCAACTCTCCCAGCAGCCAGTCCCTTCTCATCTTTAAAAAATCTTTTTAATTTTATTTTTGGGTTCTACTTCTCTAGTGACTACTTTTTCCTTTACCTGCTAGTTTTGGACCATTTTGAACATGAAGAGGAAGACCCAGAAGGTCCTGACGTTGCAGGCCTGTGGCTCTCTCAAAACTGAAAGGGAGCAGTCAGCCAGCAGGGCTTTTGTGGAAGTCAGGTTGACTGCGTAGGGGTCAGCTGGCTTATTAGGACAGTTGGGGTCCTGCTCATGGCTCTCACACTCGGAGGCTGGCTGTCGCTGCTCTACCTTATCAAGGGATTAAAAGAGATGTCCTGGCTAGACAGCTGTGTCTGCAGATTGAACCCTGTTCTGGGAGAGCTTGCCAGGCTTTGCTTCTAGAATGTGGAAGAAGCCGTTCCATTGTCCCCAGGGAAATGAATTTCCTGTGGAACTGGGTAGCATGCAAAAGTTCTCTGATGGAGTAAATGATAACATCTTTGGTTACACAGCTCGGGAAGGGAAGTTGTACTCAGGCTCCAAGACTGGGAAGAAAGAGGAAAAGATGAAATGATGAGGGAGCATCGGACCAGTACGGTAGGGAGGGACTGTTGTTGATTTGACAAGTAAATCAAGCTGCTAATGCCAAACCCACAGATTCAACTAACCAAGAACCAAAATATTCAAAAGAGAAAGATTGTGCCTGTTGTGAACATGCACAGACTTTCTCTTTTGACGTTAATCCTTAAACCATATGGTATAGCAACTATTTAGATACTTCATATGCTACATTAGGTATTACAAATAATCTAAAGAGGATTTACATTTAGGAGGATATGTGTAGCCCATATGCAAGTACAGTGCCTTTGTTTTTGGTTTGGTTTGGTTTTTGCTCATTTTGAGACAGGGTCTCCCTGTACTCCTATCCTAGATGGCTTGGAACTTGCTATGTAGACCAGGCTGGCCTTGATCTTACAGAGATAAGCCTGCCTTTGTCTCCCCTAGTGCTGGGATTAAAGGTGTGTACAACCATGCCCTGCTCTTTTTTTTTTTTTTTTTTCTTGAGACAGGGTTTCATGTAGACCAGATTGACCTCAAACTTAATATTATATGTAATTAGGCTAGACTGGCTGGCCAGAGAACCCCAGGGGTCCTCCTGCCTCTGCCTTCCATGTGCTGAGATTACAGGTGCATGCTACCATGCCTGGCATATTTTCACATGGGCTCTGGGGATCAAATCAGGTCCTTGTGCTTGCTTTACTGAATGAAACTTCCCCACATTCCCCTTTTTCTTTGAGACGGTCTTACAACGTAGCACTGGATGGCCTGGAATGCATTATGTAGACCACACTGGCCTCTGTCTCACAGAGATTGACCTGCCTCTGCCTCCAGAGTGCTAGGATGAAAGGTGGCTCCTTTTTAATATTTTTAGTTTTTTGAGCTTGGCATGCTGTGTAGCCCAGCTGGCCGCCAAGTCCAGTGATCCTCTTGCCTCAGCAAGATCCTGAGGGCTAGGATCACAGGCATGAGCCACTTCACCTTGTTCTTATTGTTGCTTTCTGATACAGGCTATACTTCTGGCTAGCTGAGGGGAATTTTCTCTTTGAAAGAATATTCCAGATGATAAAAAGGAAAGAATGCCCCATTTTATAATACCTGATAAGCTGTTGGATCCAGGGCACTGAGCAATGATTGCCAACATTGTAAGAATGAAAAGAGACGGCAGATATTTATTGACTTCTTTAAAAAAAATTTTTTTTTATTAAGCCAGGTTTGGTGGCACACATCTTTAATCCCAGCACTTGGGATGCAGAAGCAGGTAGATCTCAGTGAGATCAAGGCCAGCCTGGTCTACATAGTGAGTTCCAGGGAAGCTCAGGTTGCAGAGAGACCCTGTCTCAAGAATTCCAAAAAAAAATGTGTGTGTGTGTGTGTGTGTGTGTGTGTCTGTGTCTGTGTGTGTGTGTGTGTACATGTTCTGTGTAAGTGTAGAAGTCAAAGGACAATTTTCAGGAGTCATTTCTCTTCTTCTACCATGTGGGTCCTGAGGCTTGAACTCAGGTCTTAAGGCTTGGCTACAAGCCCCTTTACTTGCTGAGCCTTCTTGCAGGCCCTATTGGTACAACACACTGCTACAATGAAAGTGTTCTCACCAAAGCAAAGTGGAATCTTAGCAGAATCCTTGGAGTCTAGGTTTGATGAGAATTTTGCAAGAGATTCAGGGGATAGTTAAATTCTACTACAGGGACTGGGTATGGTAGCACATGCCTTTAACCCCAGCCCTCCAGAGGCAGAAGCAAGTGGATCTCTGTGAAGTAGAGAACTGCCTTGTCTACATAGTGAGTTCCAGGCCAGCCAGGCCTAAATACTCAAACCCTGTGTTAAAAAAAAATGGGCTGGAGAGATGGCTCAGTGGTTAAGAACACTGGCTGTTCTTGCAGAAGATCTGGGTTCAAATCCCAGCACACACATGGTGGCTAACGGCTGTCCATAACTCCAGTTCCAGGAGATCCAACTGCCTCTTCTGTCCTCCACGGGCATTGCACAAATTGAGTGCACTTACCTACATGCAGACAATACACTCATACACACAAAATAAAAATAATAAAATTTTTAAAAATTTACTTTTTATTATTTTTTAATTTGTTATGTGTATGAGTGTTATGCCTGCATGTAGGTAAGTGCACCTCTGTCATACAATGCCCGTGGAGGACAGAAGAGGCACTTACATACATTCAAGTAATATACTTGTATACATAAAACAAAACAAAAAACCAGGAGGGAATGCACATTCACTAAAGCAAGCACAAGGAGCTGAGTTTAATCCCCAGAAAGGAGACTGAAGCAGGAGGATGCTTCAGCCTAGGAGTTTGAGGCCTTGAAATGTGTACCCTAAGAATTAGAATGAGACCTCGGTCTCTTAAGAAAAATGAAAGTAGCCAGGGTGGTGGTGCATGCCTTTAGTCTCAGCACTTGGGAGACAGAGGCAGGCAGATCTCTGTGAGTTCAAGGCCAGCCTGATCTGTACATAGCAAGTTCTAGGCCATCTGGGGCTATAGGGAGACCTTGTCTCAAAAAGACCAAAAAATCCCGAAAAAAAAAATCCTAAACCATTGCTTCAGGAATTTGATTCCCCCAAGTCTTGATATAGGATGCTTGAGAAGAAAGGGTCACTAGCCTATGGGGATGGTGGGAAGCCAGTCATTGTGACTTATTCCTTGTGACACCTGTTTCCTGGGTTGGGGATAGTGCTAAGCACGGAGGACCTTCCTTTGGAGCCTTTCCAAATGTCTGTGTAAAGACCAGTTCCATTAAAGTCATCTGGTACTGGCTAAAAATACAGATTTCTGGACTGCACACTGGGTTGGGACCTGAGAGTGTATATTTAATTTTTATTTATTTATTTATTTGGTCTTTTTGAGACAGGGTCTCCTTATAGCCCAACTTGACCTGGAATGCCTCTGTCCCTTGAATGTGATATTGTTTGGGTATGCAGAGATTGAAGATGAATTGAGAACAGTAACCTGGGGAGGGGGGAAGGGGCTATTTTCTTTATTTTTTGAAGAAAGATCCTGACTCTGAAGCTTCAAGTGACGCTGTGGAAATCTGAAATGAGGGGATGTCATGAAGACAGCTTTTCTTTTTCTGAGGAAAAAAAATAGGCATGGGCTTTTTATTTATTTATTTATTTGGTCTTTTTGAGACAGGGTCTCCTTGTAGCCCCAGCTGAACTGAATTCACTATGTAGAACACGCTGGCTTGGCTCTCACAGAGATGTACCTGCCCCTGCTGGGATCAAAGGCATGGGCCTGGTGGAGAATCTGTATTTTAACAAGATCCTAGGAGAGTCTGTGTTCACTAATAGTTGATAGTAATTACCCAACGTGTGACTAAAGAGTCAGGGAACTGCTGGGTCAAGAGAAGGGTAGTAAGGATGCTCAGAGTGCCTCCCATCTTCCCATTAATGTGGGGCCAGGTCTTGGCTACACATGCAGATGGAGAGAGAACTGGACCACCCTGCAAGGGTTCTTGGTGTCCTTTATCTCTGTATCTTGTGTCTGGAAGGTTGCAGGTGCTGGGGAGATACTTATCAAAGGAGGGAGTGGCTTAGTGAATGGATGGACTGAGGGTGAATGGTGTGGGGGCGTGGGTAAAGGCCTGTGTGTAGGGCCTGTGAGCAGGAAGAAGGCTCTGGCTGACCTGAGGCTGGGTATGGAGGAAGGAAGGGCAGAATACAGGGTGCACTATGCCTCCTCTCCCCTGTGGTTGCTAAGGCCTGAACTTGACTTTTGGATTTGCCTGGTGGGGCTTCTAGGTGGCCGGTGGGGTGGGGGTATTTCAAGGTGTGGCTTATGCCTCTCCAGCAGGAAACAGCACAGACTCCTCCAGTCTCCTAAGTGCATGGTTACAACTTTCCTTCTGGGCCACAGTAGCCTTAATTCTAAAACACCCAGAACTCAGCACATGCAGGGCACCCACTCTTCCTGTTTCTACTTAAGCACCATATTCCTTAACACTGAAGTCTAGGTCCTTTTGAGCCCTACTTGTCACTATAAAGGGGACTTGGGAACAGAGGATTTGGGGGAGATGCTAGAGTCCTTTCCATTGTGGAAGTTCTGTCTGCCTCCTTTGATCACTGAAGCTGACCTCACTGAGGCCTCTCCCTCCTCATTAGGCTGGGAAGGAACCATCCCTGGTCCCCACCCCTGCGTTGAAAGCTTCGGCTGGATTTCCAGACAGAAAAGGAAGTTGTGCGGTCTACCCAGAGCAGCTTGGCACTCAGAAGGGGCTCTGGGATCTATTATCCTCCGGCGTGATGGGGGGAAAGAGAACAAAGCTCAGAGCTGTCCAGAAACCACAGACCTGTAATCTTTCCAAAGCCTGAAGGCGACTTGTACATCCCCCTCCAAGGCTCCCAGATCTCTCATTCTCTGAGAGGCAGGGATGGTCTGTTTCCCAGATCACAGCCAAAAGGTAAGGGGGAGACAAATCTGTTCTGTTTGGTTTCCATAGATTCGACCTAAAGATTAACTACCAAAGTCTCCACGACACACGCAGTATCAATCACAGGCTAAATGTTGTGAGAGCTGGGCAGGCTATCAGGACAGGCTTCTGGGTTCCTGTAACAGCTTCGAACTTAAAGATTTGGACCCAAGAAATCAAATGCTGGCCCTGAAGACTTCTGGCTTATGTGAGCATCCTCTTGAGAGGAACAGGGCCCGGTTCAGGTTCTTCAGAGGGCCAAGTGATAACATAGTGGAGGAAATAGCTGGATACTAAGAAGCAAACAGTGGGCTGGGGAGATGGCTTAGCCCTTAATTGCACTGGCTGCTCTTGCAGAGGACCCAGGTTCGGTTCCTGGCACCTGAATGGCATCTCACAACTGTCTGTAACTCAAGTTCCAGGGACTCCAACACCCTCTTTGCTCCACAGGTGCCAAGCACAAATGCACATACATACATACAGGCAAAACATGCTTACATATAAAAATTTTAAAAAGTTAACAAAAACAGTAATTTGACTCTTGGTGGTAAGCAAGAAGTGTTAGGGAATAGTGGGAACTGTGGTACGATAAAGAGCCAATGCCTTCTCCATTAAGGGCATTCCATGTAGGAATGCGAGTCCAGAGTTTTCTGGGTTTTTTAAAGTTTTTTTGAAATGGCACATGCATTGTACATATGTGGAGGTCAGAGGACAGCTACTGGGAGTCTGTTTGCTCCTTGGTCCCAGGGATTGAACTTGAGTTGTCAGGCTTGGCAGCAAGCTCCTTTGCCTGCTGAGTCATAGTTGGCTCACTTTCAAACATTTTCATGAGAAGCCAGAATGTTGCCAGATTTTTGTAAGCAATCTATTTGGTTTTGTTTGTTTATTTTTTTGAGTTAGGATTTTCCTATGGCCCCAGCTGGCCTGGAACTTCTATGTAGACCAGCTGGCTTCGATCTCACGATCTTACAAATCTGCCTGCCTCTGCCTCCTGAGTGCTAGAATTAAGGGCTTGGGCCACCACACCCAGCTCTTGTTTCGATTTTTGAGACAGTGTCTCAATATATAGGCCTTGTTGACCTAGAAATCACTATGTAGACCAGGCTGGACTTGAACTTTCGGTAATCCCTCTGTCTCAGCCTCACAAGTGCTTGGATTATAGGTATGAGCCACTATGCTAGGTTTAAAATCATAATTTAAGCAACTTTTTAAAATTTGTTTTTATTTTATGTGTATAAATGTTTTGCCTGTGTGTATGTAAGTATACCGGTGTTGTACAATGCCCATGGAGGTCAGAAGAGGGCATCAGATGCCTGGAATTGGAGTTAGGGGTAGTTGTTGGCTGTCATGTGGGTACGAGGAACCAAACCCAGGTCCTCTGCAAGAGCAGCCTGTGCTCTTAATCACTGAACCATCTCTCTAGCCCCAAAATCATAGTTTTTAATTCAGATCAAGAATTTTTTCACCTTGGGCAAAGCTTTTAGTTTCTTTAGGAAAAGGAATGTCTGATTGTTACAGGACCTCAGAAGAGGCCATGCAAGTGTGGGGCTCTGAGGTGAATCCACCCCTAAGGGAATCTCTTCCCCTCTCTAATTGCAGGTACAGAGGGTAGTGCCTTCCGCACTCCCACTCCTCGGTGACAGAGCCAGGGATCTGGACTTCCCCCCAGCTGTCTTCATTTAGTCTAAGTCAGTGACCTTGGGGCATTCTGGGGTCACCGTTTCCTTCATGGCTTGACCTCACAAGTTAGGCCTGGCCCTATCCTCAAAGCTTTATACATGTACCCTGTGTCAAACAAGCAGAACTGGGACAGGCCAGTGTGAAAGGGGATTGGGTACGAGTCGAAGAAACTGGCTACAAAGCCTTTGGCTTCTAGAAGTTGTTTTTAATTAATTATTTTATTTTTATATTTTTGGTCTTTTTGAGACAGGATCTTCCTGTAGCCCCAGCGGGCCTGGAACTCATTATGTAAACCAGGTTGGCCTCAAACTCATAGAGATCTGCCTGCCTCTGCCTCCCAAGTGCTGGGGTTAAATGCATGCACCACCATGCCTGGCGATTTATTTTTTATTTTATGTGTTATGAGTGTTTTGCCTGCGTGTATGTAAGTACACCCCATGCATACAATACCCATGGAGTCCAGAGGAGGGTATCAGATCCCCTGGAACTGGAGTTTTGGACAGTTGTTAGCCACTACGTAGATGCTGGGAACTGAACCCAGCCAGTGTTCTTAACCACCAAGTCATCTCTCCAGCCCCTTCTAGAAGTTTTTGATCTTAGCAAAATAATTTATATTCTGATATTAAAAATAAATTCTGCCCTTGGTACTGGAGAAATGGCTCTGGGTAAGAGTGCTTGCTGAGAAAGCATGAGATCCATTCCCAGCACCCAGTACAAAGCCAGGCATGACTGCACGAGCCTGTAACCGCAGCACTGTGGAGAGCGGAGAAAGGAAGGTTGCTGGGGCTTATTGGCTGCCAGCCTGCCTCAGGTTCCATGAGAGATTCTGTCTCAAGGGAGTAAGGTAGAGAGTGACAGAGCAGGACATCCAGCATTGTCCTCTGGCTTCCATGCATGCATACTTGTATACACACATGTGCATAAACCACACATGTATACCTCCACACACACATATATACAATTTTTTAAAAAATTCTGCCCTCTTCAACCAGGTGTGGTGGCATACACCTTTAGTCCCAGCACTCAGGAGGCAGAGGCAGGTTGATCTCTGTGACTTCAAGACCAGCCCGGTCTACATAGTTCCTGGAGAGGGTTACACAGTGAGACCTGCCCTCCTACAGAATACAGTACCTGTGGATAGTCATGTTCCTGGGAAAAAGTTAGTCCAAATTTAAATGCAATGTGCATCACATTTCTTCCCCAGCACCACCCAAGTTGGGTCTGGAATGTGCTTTGAAAGAACAGGGCGAGTGGAAACACTGCTGTGGTTGGTTAAATGACTATTAGTAGTGCAAGACCTACTGCTGGATATGTGGGGGTTGGAGCTTGGCAAGAGTGTCCATATATAAACATATACATGTTTTAACTTACTACAAGTCATTGCTCTTTATGAATTTTAAATCTGCCAAAATGATCCCAACCAGAAAATGAAAGTTGGGGATTTTTTTTTCATCAAAAGTTGGACATGAAAACTCAGGAATTTTGTGTGTGTTGTTGCCTGTAATTTAATTCTTCATGTATCAGATGTAATCCAAGTTTAACAGATTTTTTTTTTCTTTTGGATTCTGGCAAGTATGTTAACAGGAGGCAATTATGTGAATTAATATAAAACGCTTTTATTAAAAAAAAAGAAAAGCCTTCATTTAAAAGGAAATTTAATATTACTTCTCTGATGGTGTTGATGTCATGAACTTGTTTGATTAACTCTTCAAATGGTTCAAAGTGCTTTGGGTGGTAATTTATGAACTCTTAATTGATTTTCCCAATTGTGGTTTGGCAGAGGTGGGCCTCTTGGAAATGTAGGGGGGTTCGAGGCCCTCAGGCAGCTGCCCTCTTAGACTTGGGAGCCAGCTGTCGTGGACATTACCCAGCAACATAGGGGGAGCTCTGGCTAGGGAGATGAGCTTAGGGTGATCAGGCCACTTGTAGTTCTGACTCCTGAGCAGTTGGATGTCTGTCTCCTCTTGAGATGTGTAGGAATACTACAGGCAGTTTCCCAGCAGGACAGACTCAAGAACCATTTCCCAAGCCAGGTGTGGTGGCGCACACCTTTAGTCCCAGCACTCGGGAGGCAGAGGCAGGCAGATCTCTGTGAGTTTGAGGCCAGTAGCTGGGGCTACTGGAAGACCCTGTCTCAAAAAAGACACCTCAGAACAAGCCTTTCTTGTGTGGAAAAGGGTAAAAGAGGTTTCAGAGTATTTGCCCTCACTGCCCCATCCCCATTTCCTATCCAGACCACTGTTCCTCCCTAGCCTGCCTCTCAGATGCCAGCTGGGAAGGTTCTGGACCTTGGCAAGGCTGGGGCCTGATAAGGCTGTTCTTTCTTTCTCTCTCTCTCTCTCTCTCTCTCTTTCTCCTTTTTGATTTATTTTTATTTTATGTGTGTAGTGTTTTGCCTGCCTATAAATGTACCAAGTGCATGCAGTGTCAGAAGAAACCAGAAGAGGGCGTCAAATCACCAGGAACTGGAGTTATGGACAGTTGTTAGCTGCCATGTGGGTGCTGGGAACAGAACCCGGGTCCGCTGCAAGAGCAGCCAGTGCTCTTAACTGCTGAACCATTTATCTAGCCTCATAGCTGCCATCTCCTAAAACTGTTATAAAAGTTCTCAGAGAAATGACAACCCTGGTCAGACCCAGAAAAATGAACTTGCAGGTGTTTTTTTTTTTTTTTTTTATTGTGCTCCTGAACCAACTAGGTGGGGCATAATTGCCCCCACATTACATGAAGAAAATGAGGGTCAGAGAGGTTAAGAAACCTGGCAGCAAGTTAGTGAGTAGAATACACTGGGGACTCAGCACAACAGTCTTGCAGCCCGACTGTGTCAGCAGATTCACCATATTCCTGGTCATGGAGTATGAGCTCCTGAGGATGAACCCGTGCTTTTTCATTTTTTATTTTTCATATGTGTGTGGTGTGTTTGCATATGCATGTGTGGGCACATGTGTATGGGTGCATGCATATGCGAGTGAGTATGGAGGCCTGAAGTTGCTGTCAGGTGTCCTTTGATCATTCTCCACTTGTTTTTCTGAGGCAATCTCTTGCTGAACTCAGCACTTTCAGATTTCTGATAGTCTAACCAGCCGGCTTGCTCCAGGGATCTCCTGTCTCTGCCTGCCGAGTGCTAGAATAACAGGCAGCTACCATGCCTGCCCAGCTCTGGGGATCACAACTCTAGTCCTCTTGTTTATGAGACAAGCTCTATCCACTGAGCTTCTCCCCAACCTTGCCTTTCAGTGTGGCAAGTGCTCTCTTGGGCCCTGGAGTCTCGCATACCCAGCCTCCAACTTTCTCATGTGTAAATGGGGATAAATAGCATTCACCTCACAGGTTGAAGGATTAAATGAGATCATTTTAGCCCTACCATAGCAAACAGAGCTTGGAGACTTTCACAGAGCATGGGGACATGGACACAGAAGAGAGGTAATAGATATCTAAGCCAAGACTAGGGAAGAGTGTGTAGAGTCATGTGGATGGGACAGGAGGTCATGGAAGGGCAGTTGTAAAGGAAGACACAGAGCATCCATGAGCTTCAGCATCCTCCATTGGGTGATGGGGCTCACTGGCCCCTGTGTGAAGTGCAAGCCAGCCTTTTGTGAGTAGGAGAAAGCTATTTACTATCTACTGGCCAGATCAGGCTTCCAGGAGACTTCACCCTTTTTACTATGGAAATGGAAGACCCAGAACCATCAAGGGTCACCAGAACACAAATTCAAACATCATGTGTTTTGGTGTCAGGCTAAGGACAAATGCAATTACATCCCCTAGCCCAGCCCCTGCTAGTGCTGTTCCCAGGCCCACACCTCCCTGGGGAAAGACCGAGGACAGAGCAGCTGAATGAGATGCCCCTATCGCTCCCCAAACATTAACGGCACCAGGCCCCATGGTAGTTACACCATCAGACTCTGAGGCACATTGGGCTCTGGTCTCTACCATTGCCTAGGCAGTGTGACCTGGAGCAAACCACCTAATTTACTGTGCCTCAGTTTCTTCATATGAGAAAGGGGAGAATGTGGAATAGAGGAAATATATTAATACTTACAAGGAACGTTCTCAAAACAGTGCTGAGAACCAGGTGTGGTGGTCCATGCCTGTAATCCTAGCTCTAGGGAGGCTGAGGCAAGAAGATTGTCATGAGTTCAAGGCCAGCCTGGACTACATAATGAGTTCCAGGTCAGCCTGGGCTACAGTGTAAGAGACCCTGTTTCACAAAACAAAAACAAAAACCAAACAATATCAGTACTAGGCACATGGAAATACTTCAGAAAACCTGGTATTTCCCAAAGGAAGACCAGCCCTGGATCTGTGACTGGCAGAGGGCTGCCAGTCCGCTCCCCAAGGTCACACTGCTAGGCCTTTGTAGTTTTGCTAAAAACAAACAAATAACAACAGTAACAACAAAGAACTTACAGCCCAGCCTCCAACCACAGTACCTCTGCCATGAGACTGATTATTAGTCGCAGGACTTCTTCCCTCACACAGGCCCCAGCTGCCCCTCTAACCCCACTGTCACCCTAGGGCTGAAATGCTGTCAGCCTGGGCTATCAGTGATGAAGGACCATTGCTTCCCCTTTCATCCTTAGGCAGACCTGCGTTTGACCCTGTGGAAGCTTCAGGGCCACCTGGCCTTCCCCTGACTCTCCTCAGATCTTCTCCCACTTCCCACACCCATATTCTCAGAAATCCCTCAAGTGTTGTTAATAAATGTCAGGGTCCTCCAACTTGTTGGTGGAACCAATATATCTGAGAACAAGCAGTTCCACAAGAAAAAGGTCTCAACGCAGCAGAAAAGGTACCACATAACAGGGACCCCAGGGGCTGGTGGCCTCTTCAGGCATGGCCCTCAAACCCCCTTCTCCTCTCACTCTGGAGTTTTCCCCTTGGAGTGTTTCAGCGTGAATAGCCAGTACCTGGTAGTCCCAACAGCTCTTGAATTTCAGGCCTGCAGGCGACTGCTGTGACCACAGGACAAGGGCATTGAGGTCTGCTGGAAGAGCCTGGTCTGAGATGCAGGACACTCTTCCTTCCTACCTCACATGATGCTGTCTTGGTTGAGTGGCTCTGTCCCTCCACCATCCAGTTTCCCCATCTCTATTGGGGTGGTGGCAGCCGCAACCCCATGTCCCCTCCACCAAGATTGAGAAAATCTTCAGAGCCTTTTTCTTTAAAGGCTGTTTAACATTACCCAGGGCACAAAAAAAGTTATCCTTAGAGTTGAGTACTGATTTGCAATTTGTGCTGGGACCTAAGCAACTTGCTCCTTGACTCTGAAATTTTTTTCTCTCTCAACCCTCCAGGTGAACACAGGTAGAACTTTATGAGAATGTGAAATCTGATACAGAGCATCTGAAGCCTTAACCCACCCTATTATCCTTAATACTGGTCATTGAATCCGAAACTCAGTTATAGAAAAGGAGGTAAGAGAAGCTCAATGGCGTCTCTAAAGAATGCTGGGACAGCAAGAAGCCTTTCAAACTAAAAGGATGTGGGCTGTTCTCCACAACTTCAGAAATGGTGGAAGGGGAGTTTCTAGCCCCCACAGCCATACTCTCCATGAACACTTGCCTGAACCCAAGAGGTAACAACAGCCTTTCCACCCAAGGGCCTTACCTGGGTGTGTGCTGGAGGCCTGGCCAGGTTAAGAGGTACAGGTCCTTGGGGTGTGTGGCAGTCGCACACTCGGCCTCCTGGACTGGCTCAGAGGGCCTATTTTTAGGGTCAGATCTGCTGACACTGACCTTGCATGCTGTCCAGTCTGAGAGGAGACCTGTGGCATTTGTTTGCAAAATGATTCGCCAGTGTGACCTGAAACCCTGGACTTAGGAAGTCCTGTACCTGGAGCCCACATACTTGTCTCTGGCCTGGCCACAGATGTAAGACATGTGGCCGGCAGGGTGGCGACAGACAGGGGAATTCCCCCAGCTTTGTTTTCTCAGGATGGATGAAGCCAGGTGTCAGTGGGCTCTGTCTCAGAATGGCTGGGACAGGGAATGTTTGTCTGCTGGCCAGAGCCCATGTGAGAGGCCCCAGGGCACATTGCACAGAGGAAAACTCTACCACAGGCTTCTCTGAGGGTTTGGAGAGCTATATCTCTGGGGGAATGGATGGAATGGATGTCACATCACACAGGGTGATGAATAAAACCCCAAGGAAGAGTCAATGTGGGAAAACTGTACTGTAGCCATTCTTGTGACATCCCCTACCGAGTTCCCATCATTTTGGGGCTTCAGTGATGATGATTATCACAAGCCTGTCTTATATTATTATTATGAGGCTTGAAGGAGATGAAGCATAGAAAATACTTAGGAAGTGCCCAATGCATGGGTGACACATAGAACGTTCTGGAAGGTATTAGTATTTTAAAACTATTCCCAACCCAGTGTTTCCAAATCTGTCTTCTTGCCTTTCTCTTTTCTCAACTTCTTGCTTCATTGCCTCCAGCCCTGTTTTGCTTTGGTACCCTCCCATCAAGTTCTACCAATATAGCTCTCCTTTTTAACATCAAGGGGCAGAGTCCCACCCAGTACCCTCTAATTTTCTAGTAAAATTAGGGCTTGCTACAGCTTCTCTTGAAGATTGATGTGATTTACCATTCTTACCTGTCCTTGTCAACCCCCTTTGGGGCATAGTTTAATGTGTGAAAGGGACTGCAGAGAAGGCTTCCAGTCTCCTACAGCCTTCATTTAATGACGTCCTTATATTGTCTTCTGCAACTTTGTTCAGCATGCAAATACCTTCCTTGTGACTTGTAGTATTAGCTACTGTTGCTGTTATTTATGGTAATTATTGACGCTATTATTATTCATTGTGAAACTGCTGGTAACTTGGCTTTTATTAATAGAAAGAAGAGTCACAAAGGAAGGAGAACCTAGAAGAACAAAGAAGTCCAGATGTTCCTACTGTCAATTGCTGGAGTCAGAACAACAGGGTCAGAAGCCTTTCTATAGTCACCCTAAGAAATAACAGTCAAGAGATGCTAGAATTGAGAAGGTCTAGGTAAAGATTTCTTCCTCGTAGGGAGCCTTGATGGGAAAGCTGCAGTCCCAGCCTGAGACAGAGCTGAGGAGGGACTTTCAGACTTTTGAAAGTGTGGGGTCAGTAGTGTGGAGAAAATCAATATCTAAGTCAGGTGTGGTGGCACACACCTGTAATCCCAGGAGGCGGGAAAATTGCCCCAAGTTCAACACCAGCCTAGTCTGCATAGGGATTAAGTCAGCCAGGGCTGTATAGCCAGACGCTGTCTCAAACAGGGAGCTGTTTAGATGGCTCAGTGGGTAAAGATGCATGACACCAAGCCTCACAATCCAAGTTTGATCTCTGGAGCTCACATGGTGGAAATAGAAAACAGATTCCCAAAAGTTGACCTCTGCATACAACCTCTGCAACACACACACACAAAAATAAATAGGCTGGGTATGGTGGTATACACCTTTAATCCCAGCACTTGGGAGGCAGAGGCAGGCAGATCTTTGTGAATTCTAAGCTAGCCTGATCTACATAGCAAGTTCCAGGCTAGCCAGGGCTACATAGTTAAACCCTGTCTCAAAGTGAAAGAATAACTAAGTAACTAACTAACTAACTAAATAAATAAATAAATAAATGTAAAATAAAATAAACAGTGAATCCATTAGCCTTCATCAATATCTAGAGACATTTGAGCTAGCCAGATGATAGGTAGGTAGAAAGATAGTTATAGATAGATAAAAGAAATAGTATTTCTTACCATCTAAGATGATAGTGAGAGATCTGAGTGACTCCATCTTGGATAAAACCTCCATGGGACTGACCAAGCACTGAACCCTGTTCCAGGAAAATACACAAAAAAAGTATACTTGGAATAGATAGAGACCAACTCCCCCGCCAATGGTCAATTAACCAGGGACAGGAAAGTACTAAAAGTCCAGATGTCTCTTCAGATTTCCTGAAGGCAGCAGTTTATGGTTTGGCACTGGGCTGCAACCAATCAGATGCTTGCCAGGCTGGAGACCCCCTACTTGCTAAACTTGCTGAAATAAACCTATAAAAACCTCTGTCTCCCCAAGCAAGGGGTCTCACATCTGAGATCCACTGGCTCGGTGACAGAGTGGGCCCAAGCTTAAGCTTGCAACAATAAAAAAAAAAACCTGGTATGTTGGCATCGTCCGGGCCCTTGGTGGTCTTTGGGGTCTCGTGAACTGGGCACAACATCTTGGGGGCTCGTCCGGGATCCCCAAGGACCCCCCCCCCCAGGACCCCTGAACCAAAGGGTTCCTGGCCGGCTGGTAAGTTTCTGTGTCTAGTTGTGCCTGCCTGTGTCTGTCCCAGCATTTGTTTTGAGCCTCGAGGCAAACTTGTGAACAGTGTGGTCAGGAGCGGTTGGAGCAGACACGCTGGATGACCGTGACCACAGAGGTCTGGAAGACGTTCCAGACCCTGGCAGAGGGGATGGAGGGCCCCAGACTCTTTTGATTTCTATGAAAGGACAAGGCAGGTCACTCCCATGGCATGGCAGTTTGCCGCTGTCCTACTTTCAGTTTTTCTTCCGCACAAGTGGGGGAATTTGCTTCTTGGCCTTCTGCGTGTCTTTTTGGCTCTCTGTTTTGTCTTTGGTTGTCTATTTCTCTGTGACTGAGATGGACGCAATGGGACAGACTCCCTCTACATCCTTGGACCTGATTCTTGCACATTTTGGAGAGGTTAAGACTTGAGCCCATAACCTCTCTGTTGTTGTCAGGAAGGATAAACTACTTTCTGCAGGTCTGAATGGCCCACTTTCAACGTTGGATGGCCCTTGGAGGGGACCTTTGATCCCACTGTCATTAACGTGGTTGAGAAAATTATTCTTCAACCACATGTAGGACACTTGGATCAAACATCATACATAGTGGTCTGGGGAGATTTAGTTAATAACCCCCCTCCTTGGGTCAAGTCTTTTCTTCCTTTACAGAAAACTGCGGTGCTGATGGCTGCAGAATGGAAAATGACAACCCAGAAAACACCTAAACCTGAAACCAAACCATCAGTACTGTCACTGTACCCTGTCTTACAGGGCGGCACAGAAGAAGATCTAATTTTTTCTCCCTCTCCTTATCCACCTCCACCACAGGAGGTACCCCCTCCAGAACTGGCACCCCTGGTACCAGATTCTTCACAGGCACAGGGGGAACCAGCTCGGGACTAGGAGTAGAAGGGCAGCAACAACGGAGGGTCCAGACTCTACTGTTTTACCTCTCAGAGTCGCCGGCCCTGTTGATGAGGCAGGCAACCAGCCCCATCACTATTGACCATTCGCCACTAGTGACCTTTACAACTGGAGAACCCAGAATGCTCCCTTTTCTGAAAATCCTAAGGAGCTTATTAATTTATTAGAAACTGTCTTATTCACACACCAACACACTTGGGATGATTGTCATCAATTATTACAGGTCCTGTTTACCACAGAGGAAAGGGAACATATCCAAACAGAAGCCAGGAAATTAATTCCTGGAAATACTGGTGTCCCTACTACTGACCCAACACTGATTGATGCTGCCTGTCCACTGACCTGGCCTGATTGGGATTATAATACTGCAGAAGGTAACGGGAGGCTTCTGGTTTTCCGCTGGGCTCTGTTGGCAGGTCTCAAAGCGGCTGCTCATAGGACAACTAATTTGGCAAAGGTATACGATATTAGTCAGGAACTAAATGAAAGCCCAGCTGCATTCTTGGAGCGAATTACAGATGCCTTCCGCAGGTATACTCCATTAGACATGGAGGCCAAAGATAATGTAGCGGCAGTGGCCATGGCTTTTGTTAACCAGTCAGCTCCAGATATAAAGAAAAATCTCCAAAGAGTGGAAAGACTGGGTGAGAGGAGCTTAAGGAATTTAATAACTGTGGCTGAGAAAGTGTACAATAATAGGGATAGTGCAGAGGAAAAACAGATAAAGGCAGAAAGGAGGCAGAACAAGGACCTGGCAAGGATCCTGCTGGCTGCCACTGCAGATCCAGAGGACCAGCAGAGGTGTCTGAGACAGATAGCATTGGGGAAAGGAGTCTCTTGCAGTATGTGGATGACCTACTTGTGGTGGCAGACAGCCAAGAGGCTTGCATGGACTGCACAGAATGCCTGTTGCAGATGTTGGGAAGCCTAGGCTATCAGGCCTCTGCTAAAAAGGCCCAACTATGCAAACAACAGGTCCAATATTTGGGCTATATACTCAAAGAAGGTAAGCGCTGGCTCTCTGATGGGCAAAAAGAAACTGTCCTCAGGATCCCTACCCCGAGGAGCCCACACCAAGTATGAGAGTTCCTAGGGTCAGCCGGGTTCTGCAGGTTATGGATACTGGGTTTTGCTGAGATTGCTAAGCCCCTATATAAGGCCACTAAGGATAGGCCAGGAGAATTTTCCTGGACAGAAGCTCACCAACAATCATTTGAGGCATTAAAACTGGCCCTACTGTCTGCCCCTGCCCTCGGCCTCCCTGATGTGACTAAACCATTCTACTTGTTTGTGGTTGGAAACAAGGGTGTAGCCAAGGGAGTTTTGACCCAACTGATTGGTCCATGGTGCCATCCTATAGCCTATTTGTCTAAAAAACTGGACCCAGTGGCTGCAGGCTGGCCCCCATGTTTCCGCATTATTGCTGCAGTAGCACTACTGGTAAAAGATGCTGAAAAACTGACTTTGGGCCAGAACTTGACCATCACCACACCACATGCAACTGAAGGAGTTTTAAAGCAGCCCCCAGACAGATGGCTAAGTAATGCCCATATAACTCATTATCGGACATTACTTCTTAATCCTGCTAGAATCACCTTCCAGGTACCAGTTGCCCTGAATCCAGCCACACTCTTGCCAGACCCATACTTGAATGCCTCCCTGCATGACTGTGCTGGAATCCTGGCCCATGTCCATGGTACCCGATCAGATTTGAGAGATGCCCCGTTATCTGATGCTGAAGTAAACTGGTTCAATGACAGGAGCAGCTTAGTCCAGGACGGCAAGAGGTATGCAGGGGTGGCTGTAGTATCATTAACTGGCATCATTTGGACAGAGCCTCTGCCCACTGGCACTTCAGCCCAAAAGGCTGAACTTATTGCCCTAAGGTGCTGGTACTGGGAAAGGACAAAAAGCTTAATGTGTATATAGAAAGCCGATATGCCTTTGCCATCACGCACGTTCATGGGGCAATATATTGGGAATGGGGCTTATTAATGGCAGAGGGAAAGACTCTCAAAAATAAAGAAGAAATCCTAACATTGCTGAGGGCTCTCTGGCTGCCAAAGAAATCGGCAATTATCCACTGCCAGGTCATCAAAAAGGGGACGATCAGGTTTCCCAAGGGAACAATCGAGCGGATCAGGTGGCTAAACAGGCTGCCCTCCAAAGTGACTCAATCTTGGTCACCACACTAATTTACCCAGGTGACTCAAACCTCCCCGAAAAGCCCAAATACACAAGGGAGGACCTGAAATGGATAACGGGACTGCCGAGGACCCAATGCCTGGAAGGATGGTGGAGGTCAGCAGAAGGGAAGCTGATCCTCCTGGAAAAATTAGGAAAACGAATGTTGGCAAAAATACACCGTTCTTCCCACATGGGCATCAAAAGGATGCAGGACTTAATATGACATGCTGAAGTAAAAATCAAGGAGGTTAATTTAAAGATTAAAGGCATTGTCAATGGCTTTAAAGCTTGCCAACTCACTAATGTGGTGCCAAATATTAAAAACCCAGAAATCAGACTTCGAGGGAGAAAAACTGGAGCCTATTGAGAAATGGATTTCACTGAGGTAAAACCTGGCAGGTATGATTACCGTTATTTGCTAGTCTTTGTAGATACTTTTTCAGGATGGACTGAAGCCTTCCCTACTAAACATGAAACAGCTCAAATGGTGGCAAAGAAACTGTTGGAAGACATCCTCCCCAGGTACGGCTTTCCACAGATAGGGTCAGATAATGGACCGGCTTTTGTGTCCAAGGTAAGTCAGAGTCTGGCCACAGTTCTGGGGATTGATTGGAAACTACATTGTGCTTATAGACCCCAGAGTTCAGGACAGGTAGAGAGAATGGCTAGAACTCTGAAAGAGACCTTAACTAAATTGACCTTAGAGACTGGTGGTGACTGGGTGACTCTCCTTCCGTTCACACTCTATCGAGTGCGTAACTCCCCTTACCAGATGGGAATAACCCCCTTTGAGATAATGTTTGGAATGCCCCCTCCCATTATTCCTAACCTCCAGGCAGAGAAGATTACTGAATTTGAAGATTGGGACCTGTTGGACGACCTCAGGGGAGTCCAGTGGTCCCATAAACATGTATGGCCTAAACTACATGCTCTTTGTGAGACAGGACCCCCTCCAGAACCTCATCAATATCGACCTGGTGACTGGGTCTACGTTAAGAGGCATTGGCAAGGATCCTTAGAGCCACTGTGGAAGGGGCCCTATGTCATCCTACTAACCCCCACAGCCCTCAAAATGGATGGTGTAGCATCATAGATCCACCACACACATGTACGGCCAGCTGACCCATTCACTGTAGAGGAGTGCGCATCCCCAGCTTCAGGATGGAGAATTTCAAATGATCCCAACAATCCGCTCAAGCTAAAGCTCACCCGATTTTCAAACTGTTGACTGTATATACTCTGTTCCCCATGATAGCTGTTCCTGCTCCGGGAAGCCAGCATCAACCTATGAATCTGACTTGGGTCCTCCAAGATGTGATAGGAGGTAATATTTTGTTTCAGATCTCCCAAGTAGCACCCCCAGCTACTTGGTTCCCAACTCTGCACTCCCGGTTAGATGCTTTCTTTGATTTCAATCCTAAGGGAGGCGCACATCCTTACACTCTAACTCTCCAGGCCCATACAGAAAACCAGGCCAGTTCTATGTTTTCCCAGGGCCTAGAACTCCAAAATACAAGTCCCAGAGAAACAGGACAGCGCTACTTATTGCTCTCGCTGGGGCCGTGAAACAACAGAACACATATGGTGGACTCTTCAGGGAGGAGATCTTATTAAGGTAACGTGGGAGCAACCAATATCCACTATCAGTCCCTCTGGAGTCTGGGTGATGAAGAACATGAGATCAGGGAGAGCCCATGATTGGGCCCCCAAGGTACTAGTCAGAGGGGTGATCGGAGACCTGAGTGACTCCATCTTGGATAAAACCTCCATGGGACTGACCCAGCCCTGAACCCTGTTCCAGGAAACAACACAAAAAAAGTATGCTTGGAACAGATAGAGACCAACTCCCCTGCCAATGTTCAATTAACCAGGGGCAGGAAAGTACTAAAAGTCCAGATGTCTCTTCAGATTTCCTGAAGGCAGCAGTTTATGGTTTGGCACTGGGCTGCAACCAATCAAATGCTTGCCAGGCTGGAGACCCCCTACTTGCTGAACTTGCTGAAATAAACCTATAAAAACCTCTGTCTCCCAAAGCAAGGGGTCTCACATCTGAGATCCACTGGGTCGGTGACAGAGTGGGCCCAAGTTAAGCTTGCAGCAACAAAAAAACCCTTGTATGTTTACATCGGTTGGGTCCTTAGTGGTCTTTGGGGTCTTGTAAACTGGGCACAGCAATAGATGCAGTGAAATTAAATAAAGCCAAGAGAAGAATTTGAGGATGTAATGGTTTGAATGTGAAATTTCCCTCATAAGCCCATGTACTTGTGAATACTTAGTCCCTTGCTGGTAACACTGTTTTGAGAGGTTGTAGAATCTTAAGAGGTAGGGCCTAACTGAAGGAAGTGTCAATGGGCAGGGGGTATACAGTGTGATGGTTATAGCCAGGTCCACTTCAGATGAAGCATCATGGAGCTGCTAGGAGCCATGCCTTCCCCACCATGATGGACTGTATCCCCTAAAACCATGAGCCAAAATAAATCCTTCCTTCCTTTAAGTTGCTGCTTGTCAGATATGTGGTTACAATGATGAGAACAGTAACTAAGAAGCTGTAGATTATTACCTTCATTAGGGTAGATCCTAAGCATGATAGACCAGAATGGTGAACCTACCCCCCACTCTCTCAGTCCTTAACAAATTGTTCTATTTGCCCGAAATAGAACAAGGATGGGAAGGGGTGAAAATCCCCATCACTGTCCATAAGGAACTTCAGGAATCCCTGGGGAGATTGTGTTAGAAAAGATACCCAGAGATACCTGGTCTGTCTTCCAGTAGCAGAAGGCTAGGCTGTGATCCAACACCATTCTCTGCTTACCTCTGTTGGCTGAACTTGAACCGTGGGGATATGGCCCCAAAGCCTCTTCATGTGGGTGAATCAAGCACCATGCAGTCAGGATGGGAACAAGCCAGACAAACCATAAGCCAGACTCAGAGCTAGTCCCACCTCCTGGATGATTCCCTCAAGATGTGTGTAGTAGTGAGCTCCTGAAATAGCTGTTATGTGTGTGTAACTTCTCCTGAACTTAGAAAACATTCAGTGATTTCCACTTAGGTGCTACCACTGCCTCCCCAACCCGTGTGGCTTTTATTAGTAAACTCTTTGCGCCCAGATCTTCCTTTTCATCCTTCTTTCTCTAATTTCAGAGACTAAGTGGACATTGTCCTCTCTCCCAACTTCTCTGGGTTGGAATCCCATGTTGGTTCAAAGGTAAGATTTAAGGGACAGAATGTCATCTCTAAAGATGCCCACTTCCTAATCTCTGGGACGTGTGAGCATATTGTTACAACACAAAAGGAATTAAGGTTCCAGGTGGAATTAAGGCTACTTAAGCATCTGACCCTAACAGGTTGCACCATAGTCATACATTTATTTTTTTTTTAATTTGATTGTGTGTGTGCGCGTGTGTGTGTGTATTTCATACAGAATACCCCAAACAATCTTGATCATCTTTATACCCCCATCCCACTGGCAGCCTCCCATAGCCTCCCCCCCCACTGGAGCCCATATACTCTGTCATCCCTTTTACAGCCCAGTGTTGTCAGTGCCCCCAGCTGTTCCCCAGTGCAAGTCTATCTGCTGAGTCTAGTCAGCCTATCTAGAGTCCCTTGTTTTAGGAAGATCAGCTCTTCTTCATCTAGCAGTAATCGGTTGTCAATATTCCTTTAGATAAGATTGGGCCTGCTGTTCATTTTCCTAGTTCTCTAACTTTTTAAAAAAATATTATTTTTATTTTACGTGTATGAGTGTATTGCCTGTATGTATGTGAGTGCACCTGTGTCATGCAATGCCTTGGAGGTCAGAAGAGGGCTTTGGATTCCCCTGGAACTGGAGTTAAGAACAGTTTGTAGCCTCCATGTGGGTGCTGGGAATCGAGCTTGGGTCCTCTGCAAGAGCAGTCAGTGCTCTTAACCGCTGAGCCATCTTTCCAGCCCCTGTTTTCCCAGTTCTATGCTGGGTTACTGTCTGCCTGAGTTTGCATGGGACGTGTATATGCCGACACCTGTGCTATAGACTCATATGAGTAGGTTCCCAGGAGCTTGTAGGACTCTGTTTCCATGTGGTCATGCCCATCCTCCCTGGCTCTTACAATCTCTCCACTCCCTCTTCTGAGATGGTCACTGAGCCTTGGGTGGATGAAGTTAAATAAAGGGGACAGGATCCAAGGACTCTTGATCTCTACACTTTGGCCATTTGTGACCTTCTCTGTTCCTGGCCCTCCACTGCATAAGGAGTTTCATTACTGAGAACTGATTCCTTAGGGTCCTCTTCTTTATCCCCATTCTATGTTCCATGAGCCTTAGGTGTAGAGGTTGCACTGTGGATGTAAACCTTAGGCCTGGCAATTCATAGACAATGTCCTTGTGTGACCAGTTGTGGTCCTTGGTATTGGCCTCTGTTGCAAAATGAGCTTCTTTGATGAGTGGTGACTGGGATATTTGTAAATATAAGGATATATATTTTGCACATAGTAAGAAATCACACTAATCTAGCAATATGAAAGTTTTGGGGTTTTCGCTAAGATCTATGACCACTCCGGCCCTGTATTCACATACTTTTTAATAGGAGGGAGGCACCACATTCATTTCCCATCTCATTCATTGGAAAATATTTGCCAAGCCCCATCCTCAGTGAATTTTTCTCTCCAGAGAAAGGTCCCTGTACCTGTCATATTCATGAGACATTCTCAGTAGGTCACACCATTGTCATAGCCTTTCCTTTATCTGTGATCTCTCACCCTCATGTCTAGGAATCAGACCTCCAAAGCCCCATGTTCATTGGAGAGGGAGGAAGAAGAGGAGAAAGAGTGATGCAATGTGAACAGGACAGAGCTACTTGCTGTTGGCTTTGAAGACAGAGGAAGGAGCCGCTGTGCCAGAAAGCACCTTCTAGAAGCTGAGTAAAGGTGGGAAGTGAATTCTCTCCTAGGACCTCTGCTGGCCTCTTGGTTTTCCCCCAGTGTCGTGTTGTTATGTTATGTTATGTTGTGTTATGTTATATGTTATGTTATGTTGTGTTATGTTATATGTTATGTTATGTTATGTTATGTTATGTTATGTTATGTTATTTCGTCAGCTTTAACTGCTGTAACAAAATACGTAACCTGGGAGGTTTCAACAACAGAAAGTGATTTTTCACAGATCTGAGGCTGGGAAGTTCAAGACCAAGGCTCCAGCAGGGTTCACATGTGGTGTGAGGGTTGTTTTCTAGGTTTATAGATGGTTGCCTTGTGGTGTCCTCATTGTAGAAGGACAGCAAGTCAGCCAGTTCTCTAGTGTCAAAAGAAGGCATTGGTGCCCTAGAGCTGGAGTTACAGGCATTTTGAGCCATTGGACATGGGTGCTGGGAATTGAACTCACGTTCTCTGGAAGAGCAGCACGTGCTCTTAACCACTGAGCCATCTCTTCAGACCACCCCCCCACTTTTTGAGACAGTCTTGCCATAAACTTCAGAATGATCTTGAACTCTCAATCTTCCAGCCTCAGCCTCCCAAGTGCTGGAATTATAAGCATGCACACCACACTAGCCTCATACATTTCTTTTTTAAAAAATGAGAGTATGTGTGTGGTGGGGGGGGGTAAGTGCATGTGGAGGCCAGAGGGGTAGCCTCAACTGTCTTCCTCAGAAATACCATGTTTCCTTTGAGACAGAATCTCTCATTGGCCTAGAGTTCACCAATTGCTTTAGACTGACTGGCTGGTGAACCCCTAGGCATCTCATAACTCTACTTCTCCAGTGCTGAGATTACAAATGTGCGTGTGCCACCATGCCTGGCATTTTTATGTGGGTTCTGGGTACTGAACTCAGGTCCTCCTGCTTTTGAGGCAAGCACTTTACGGATTGAACTCTCTCCCTAGCTCCAGTTTCTTATTCTTTAGTACACATAGGTCTAGATATAGTAAGTATGACTCATAATGACCTTTCTTTACATTGGCTTCTAGACTTGGAAATATATATATATATA